AGGCGTTCAGTACATGTGTGGCCTTTCCCTCCAGCTCTGTGTCACTTCACCTCCCTCTTTGTGAGAGTGTAGACTCCACTCTGTCTTTTGAGCAAATCTGGATTGTCATGCACATGGATTTCCTTAAAGGGAGGCTCACCTGCCTCCACAGTGGCCTCCTTCACCTTCCCTGGTCTGTCATATTTCTTTCCCACTGAACTTTACTGGCCAGACACTGGGGTCACACAAACAGGGTTCAGACCCACCTTTGCCCTCCAGAAGCCCCCTTCTGCAGGGAGAGGCTGACACAAGACCATACCTAGAGTGTAGTCAGTGACGGACAGGGTGGCCCAGGGCTGAGGGGCCAGAGGAGGTACCCCTCCCACAGCACATTGGGGTGAAAGGAATTGTGTCAGGGAAGGCTTCCTGGAGGAATTGGCAGAGGAACAGAGATTTGGAGAGGAAGGAGTTAGCCAGGAGTGGGAAACAGGGAGCTGGGAAAGAGCCTCCAGGCCCGTACAGGGGTTGGAGGTGAGGGCGTCCATTGCAGCATGAGGGCAGTGGTGAGGGGAGGCAGGGCTGCAAGGGGAGCCATGAGCTGACATGCTGCCTGTGCCTGGTGTGCCGGGATCCCAGCTAAGCATCAGATCAACCAAGCCCAGATGCAGAGAACAGCAGAGGAGAAACCAGGAAGGCGACCTCAGGGGCTGGCATTGCTGGAAGGGAGATTATGTATTAGACGCCTTTGGGCTAGTTAGTTCCTTAATTTGTTCATTCATCAATTCAGCTTTCTAGTACATGCCTCTTCCTGGGCATTGGACTGAAGGAAGGAACTAGATAAGGTCCCTCCTGTCAAGTGAGGGTCAGGCATGGCAGCTACTAATTCCATACCGAGGAGGATTGGGAAAGGGTTTCAGGAAGAGGTGGCATTTTAGCTAGACTTTGAAGGATGTAGAGGCATTCACCAGGTGTTGAAAAAGGGACAAGGTCATCTCGGTAGAGAAAATAACAAGAGCAAAGATGTAGCATCATGAGGGGTTTGCAGAAGAGTAAGGAGTGTGTCATAGCCAAAGAGTTGGTTGTGTAGGGGGCAGATGAGGTGGGGCCAGCCTATGTAGGGCTAAAGTATTTGGACTTTTCTAAGGAGTCCATCCCAAAGTGTGCCCACCTGAAGAACCAGGGACCAAACAATTCCAGATCACCCAGCCCTGCAAGGACCTTCTGGAAGCCCATAGCTCCATCTGCCATAGCAAGAACCCAACCTCTAGAATGTCCCCTTGCTGGGAATGTACTCCAAGGGACAGGTGAATGGTCACAGGCTGCTGAGGGGAAGGCAGGGGCCTTCATTGGCACCAGCTGGCATTGACTCATCATGTAAGCCATGACTTGGGGCTGTATCTCTGGGGTCCTGTCTGAACATGTCCATGGAAGCCCATGCGAATGCTGGGCTGGCTCCTCCTGAGGATTTCCTCAGCCTCACCTGAAAGGTGCTATCCTCACTCCTGTTCTGCAGAAGAGGAACTTGTGTGCTCACTGAGGCTGCCTCCCCTGGGAACCCTCCAGGGACCATTGCTGTTTTTCTGGGCTTTTGTAGCCCTGCATCACCACCTCAGATCGGAGACAGATGGGCTAACACATACAAGGCACTTCACCCTTGAAGCCTCCAGTTCCTCATCTGTAAAGTGCACAAATAACTCTCATTTTAGAGGGTGGGCACGGTTTAGTCAGTGTGCGTGAAGCACCTGCCACACACCTGGCACATAGCAGGTAGCAGGTAAATGGGGAATAAATGAGACATAAAGCCTCCCAGGAGGAAACGGCCAGCCCTGGACCGGGGCACGATGCAGGATCCAGGTGGGCATGGGCCTATCTTCCTTTGTCCCTAACTGATGGAGGAAGGTTGGAGAGAGGTGAGAACCCTGGTGTGTGTTGGGGGAATATGGTTTGGCTGCGTCCCCACCCAAAACTCGTCTCGAATTGTAATCTGAATTGCGTGTCAAGGGAGGGACCTGGTGGGAGGTGATTGGATCATGGGTGGGGGATTTCCCCAGGCCAGTCTCATGGTAGTGAGTGAGTTCTCATGAGATCTGATTGTTTGATAAGTGTTGGGCACTTCCGCCTTCTCTCTCTCTATCTCCCTGGACACCATGTAAGAGTTGCCTTGCTTCCTCTTTGCCTTCTGCCATGATTGTAAGTTTCCTGTGGCCTCCCCAGCCATGCAGAACTGTGAATCAATTAAACCTCTTTTGTTTATGAATTACCCAGTCTTAGGTAGTATCTTTATAGCAGTGTGAAAACGGACCAATGTAGGGAGTCTAGTTACATGCAGTATGTCAGCTTTGGAGCCAGAGTTTCCTCCTAGAGTCCTTAGGAGCCTCTAAGAACAGAGCTGACTCAGCCTCTCTCAGCAACGGCAGTTCAGGGAGTGAGCAGAGGGGCGAGAGCTGCTCCCACCATACAACCTTCCAGAGGGCCCAAGAGCACGAAGACCCATGGCTGAATCTAGTCACACCCTGACAAACAGCACACATGCACACAACAGGTACTTGGACACACATCACACATATGGGCACACATGGTATGCACACAGATACATGTGCCACTGCCCCAGATTTTGGGACAGGAGGGGATGTACCACTGCCCCAGATTTTGATGCTCAGACATGCTCAGACATATAACATACACAGTAAAACTGCATACATGTAGACACACCAAAGCCATAAATGCATATACACAGAAACACACGGACACATAAATGCACATATACATAGACAACGTGCACAGATGTCTACAGACGAGCACATACATGCAGACACAGACACAATGACAACCCACACATGTCCACAGGTACAGGCACAGGCTCACTGTCACTTGCCTGCAAAGGGCCCTTTGAGCTCCGGCGTCCACTTAAATATACAAGGTCACACAGATCTGTTCACCCACCCCACCCCCCCCAAGTCACATCTGCACTACACTTCTCAGTCGAGTGTGTGTTCACACGCACTGCCTCCTTGATCTAACAGCAGCCTCGTAAGGCAGTTAGGGCAGGGGCCTGGGCCCTCCTGTGCAGTGAGGAACAGAAGGCCTAGAGGCACCAACAGACCAGCCTGGGCCACTCGGCGCCTGGCAGGTGTCTTAGTCAGCTTGGGCTGCTGTAACTGAGTAACACAGATTGGAGGGCTTCAACAATAGATATTTGCTTCTCACCGTTTTGGAGCTTGGAAGTCCCAGATCAAGTTGCCATCAGGGCCTGGTGTTGGTGAGGCCTCTCTTACAGGTTCACAGATGGCCCCTTGTTGCTGTGCTCTCCCTTGGTGGAAAGAGCTACCTCACTGGCCTCTTCTCACAAGGGCACTAATCCCGTTTGTGAGGGCTCCAGCCTTATAATCTCATCACCTCCCAAAGGTACCACCTCCTAAACCATCACATTGGGACTGGGGTTTTGACATAGGAATGTGGGCGGAGAACACAGGCCTTCAGTCCACAGCAGTGAGAAAGAGGAGTCCTGGTCGAGCTCTGGTCTCTTCCTGTCCAGCTGTGGTGCCAGGGCACGAATCCATGCATATGCTCATGGATGCTCACGGCAGACACACAGCTATGCACCCAGAGGGGCTTTAGGAGTCACCTAGACCACATGCTCATTTTACAGATGAAGAAACTGGAGCCCCAAGAGAAAATCCGTAGGCCTAAAGGGGGCCACCCAGAGGGCCTGTGGAGAAACCAGGGCCACATCTCTGTCCCTGTCCCCACAGCTGTACCACATGCACAGACATAATCACACACAAGCCATGGGCACATTCCACAGACACATGTGTGCAGATCCTCCCTGCTCAACACTCCTGCAGGCTCGCAGGGCCAGGTGTGGTGTTTCCACAGTCCCCTCATTTAACTCTCATGATGGTATGGGATGGAAGAGTAACCGGCTCTGTTTTGCATTTGAGCAAACTGAGGCATAGAAAGGTTAGGCCCAAAGTTGCACAGGTAGAGACAGGCAGTGGCATCTCCCAAAGCCAATTCTACATACATCATCACATCCTTACATACCTCTTTTTTCTTATATGTGCGTGCGCGTGCGCGCGCACACACACACACACACACACACACGGGCACCCTGGCCTCTGTGGGCACAGCGGCCCTCAGGCAGAACATTTTCCCAACAACCACCAGTTCAGTTCAAAGTTTTTGTGCCAGTTCTCCCATCCTAAAGGGTCTTTTGAGGAAAGGATACATTTGTTTGGGGTTTAACCTGCCCGCTTGGTCCATGCCCCTCTCCCCTCAGTTTGGAAAATGAATTCCACGTGTGCCTGATCTTGCCTGCTCTGAAATCGCCCGCGGATATTTGGTGAACACTCTTTGATGTTAGAAGCCAATTTAATAAGTTGGCTGTTGAGTTTTTTTTTTTTTTCCTGTAAGACAGAACTCTCATCTCATTTTCCTGAGATCTGAGGAATTCTCACCTTCCCTCCTCCATCTTGAGTTTCTGAATTCCTGTGTCCCAAGGCCTGGACTCATGACACAGTGCTCACAAGACGCCCAAAGGTTTAGGCTGGCTTGGGGAGAAAGGCAGGGAAGGAGGCAGCGTACTTTGAGCATTTCCTAAGGGAAATGCGAACACAGGGCCAGGCCCTGTGTTAGAAGCTCTGAATCCTCTCAATGCCCCTTTTAGAGATGACAAAACAGATATGTCGCAAGTGGGAGGCCCAGCTGAGCCTGGAGCCCTTGTCTGCCGGGCTTCCCTTCCTAGTCCCAGCCTTGCTTCTGCCGGAAGCAGTTGTGCCACCTGGGGCAAATGACCTCCTCCCCCCTGGGCCTTGGGCCCTGCAGCTAGACAGTGGGCACAGGGCTCCTCAGGGTCTGCTCTCATGGTAATGAGCTCTCTGCATCAAAACCATTTGCTGAGAACAAAGCACCATGTGAAAGGAGGAGAGGGTTTCTATTTTTATTGTTTTTGTGTCGAGAGGCAAGTTCAGCTCTAGGATTCGTATGGGAATGCATCAGTTACTATCACTCTGGGCACTTACGGTTTGGCCACCAGGGAGCTCAGCAAGGAAGTCTTTGAAGGAAGTGGAGCAGGGAGGGGAAGGGGGTATACACAGGAAGCTCCATGCTGGTGCAGGCACCTGCCCCACACCGTTCTCCTCAGGGCCTGGCCAAGGTCTTCCGTGTCCTGACAGGCTTTGGCAAAGGCCACCTTGATTTCTTGGTTTATGAAGTCTTACCAAGGGTCTCTGGGGAAAAAGGAGAAACAAGAATCATAAAGCGACCACTGAAAGCCGCAGTCGTGGGTATTTACAGCCCCACCCTGCTGACGGGGCCCTCCTTTCACTTCCTTCGTGCTCCTGGGCCCCGAGCAGCCTGGCCGTGGGCACCTGCCCTACCTAGAACTTTAGGGATCTGAGGCTGGGAAAGGTGAAGTGTCTTCTCCAAGGCCGTGCCGTCGCTGACTCATCCTCAGGTGCGGCTTCAAGCACAGTGGCCTCCTAGGAGATAGGGAGTTACCCCAGCTTCCGCCCCTACTCAGGACATCATCTTGGGAGGTTGGGAGGCCATGGTGAGGGCTTCTGTGACTCCCAGATATTATACAGATCCACGGTAGGGACCCTGGACTCCTGCACACTTCCCTTTTCTCACTTGCTGCCCACAGGTGCCGGGAACAGGGTGGAGCTGGGTCACTGCTGTTACCCAGAGAAGAAAGCCAGGCTCCGAGGGACAGCCAGGGTCTCACCGCAACCCGGCTGGCAGGGGAGGTTTTTGCACCTGTTTGGCGAGGGCAGAGAGAGGGGGCCACTGTGTGGAGTGTCTCTGTGATGTCTGGTGAAAAGTGCTTCCGTGGGTACTGCTGCTTGAGTTGGTGGCTACACCAAGCCATGGTTACTGGGGTGGGGGGCCTTTGTCCCCTCCCCCAATCTCCACCAGCCTCCTCAAAATCCCTGGAGAGAAAGACAAATCACTTCTGCAGATATGGGAAATACATAAAGTGGGGATAAAAACACTTTTAGGAAACTTGGCTTCAAAAAAATAAAAATCAGATTATAACATACAGTGCAAGCAAAAATTTGATAACTGCTTTATAAATGTGGCTCCAAGACAAGTTCCCATCCAGCCTGTCCTGAGCCCCTCCTGCAGAGATTCTGTGTGTGTGTGTGTGTGTGTGTGTGCGTGTGTCTGTGACCTCATCTCTAGACAAGTAGAGGGGCATGTGGTGTTCCACACCCATGACAAGTGTGTGCACCCGGCGAGCTCACATGCAGGACTGGGGTGCAGAGACCCTCCCCTGCCTGCGTGGAGGTCTGGGAGGCTCCCATGTCAGGTGGTGCCCACTGTGACTTATCTCCGCCCTCCTCCCTCCCTCTGAGCCAAGAAGATGAAAACATTTCTGGCACTTTCTAAAGTTTCTGTCCAGGAGTGGAAAAGCCATCAGCTGAGGGGGCGTAGGATGACAAATGGCTGCCAGATCTGCAGGTTCCCGGTTCTGAGACAGGATGGGCTGGGTGAGGACTGGGAGCTGGGCTTTTCAGTAGTGCCTGAAAGGACAGACCAGGGCAGGGGACTTGATGGAAGGTGGCTGGTGTGTAGGAGACTCAAGAGGTCACATTCCCTGGGTGCTGAGCACCGATGGACAGATGTGCCAATGCCTCGGCAGTCCAGGATCTCCTGAGTCTTATGTGGGCAGGGCAAGCTCCGCCAACTGGCAAACAAGAAATGTCAGTAGTTACAAGTGCTGTGGAGGCCACCACACTGGGAAATGAGCTGGAGGGTGACAGCAGGGCCTGTCTAGAGTGTGTGACCTGTGCCACCTCCTGACTGAAGCAGCATTTGACTGAGACCAGGATGACAAAGGGCATTCCAGGTACAGGAACAGCAAGAGCAAGCGGCCGGAGGTAGGAAGAACACGGTGTGCTTTCGGGAGGAGGCCCATGAGCAGCTGGTGAGCAGCAGAAGGTGGCAGGAGAGGCCGGGCCGAGAGGCAGTCACTGGCTGGACAGCACAGGGCCTTGGAGGCTGCATGAAAGGTTGCTTAGTCTCAGGGCGATGGGACGGCCCAGAAGGGTTAACAGCAGCAACCTGTCCTGTCCATCATGTCTGTGGCTTTTGTTATTGTTGTTGTTTTGAGACAGAGTCTTGCTCTGCTACCCAGGCTGCAGTGCAGTGGCACGATCTCAGCTCACTGCAACCTCCACCTCCTGGGTTCAAGCGATTCTCCTGCCTCAGCCTCTCAAGTAGCTGGAATTACAGGCACCCACCACACACCTGGCTAATTTTTGTGTTTTTAGTAAAGATAGGGTTTCTCCATGTTGGCCAGGCTGGTCTCCAACTCCTGACCTTAAGTGACCTGCCCGCCCCGGCCTCCCAAAGTGCTGGGATTACAGGCATGAGCCACCACGCCCAGCCCATGTTTGTGTTTTTAAAAGATAATTCTGGCTGCCAGGTAGAGATGGATGGAAGGGAACTGTCTAGGAGCCCTGCGGCGGGCCACCTGAGAGGGGTGGTGGCTTGGGCCAGGGTGGAGGCATGGAGGTGGAGAAGCCAGCCAGAGAAGGGATGGGTGATGGAGTGGGGGCTGCTAGGCACACACACATGCTGTGTGCAGGATCTGAGCCTGAGGCCTGGGTCGGGGCAAGGACGCCCACCTGCCTCCTCAGAGGCTCTGGAGGCTCCAGACTTGCTAATGGATGGGGGTAGATGTGGAGATGCCAGGAGCCCGGGATGGTGTTGGGCTGTCTGACTGAGGATGTTGGAGGACCAGGTTTCAAGGGTTGCTGGAGCTTTGCAGTCTGTGGTGCTAAGAAGCCCCAGAAGGAATCATTGAGTGAGCAGCCAGAGCGACGGGAGCCTGGTGCCCAGTGGGGTGGGAGCTCGAGGTGTGTACTGGGTGTCGTTAGTGTCTGGGTAGCAAGGGAGGCCCCAAGAAGGGGAGGATGAGCTCGTGCCAGAGGAGAAGGCCAGGGAAGAAAGAGTTTTTAGGAAAAGGAGGGCAGCAGAGTGAACACTGCTAAGCAGTCAAGTTGGGAACTAAAACTGCCCCTGGATCTGGTGACATGGACAGAGGTCACTGGAGACCTTTTGAAGAGCCCTCTGGCCTGAGGGGGTGGAAGTCAGACTGTGGGGGCCGGGGAGGGAGTGGGAGGTGAGGAAGTGAAGTCAGCGGCAGCCGCCAGCTTCTGAGAAGTTGAGTTCTGAGTGGAGACGAGCAGTGGGGTGGGGGCTGGTAGGGAGGCAAGGCCAGAGGAGGGCTTACTCCTCAGGACACAGGGAGGAGAACAGGAGGAGAGGCCCTCCACGTAAGGGAAGGGAGAAGAGGACCATGGGGGAGCTGAGGACTGAGTCCAGCCGAAGAGCCCAACGGGCCCAGACAGGAGCAAGATCTGCCACACAACAGTCAGGGCCAGGCCTGAGCCCTGTGTTCACACCACGCTGCCTGCCCTGTGTTCACACCACGCTGCCTGCCCTGTGTTCACACCACGCTGCCTGCCCTGTGTTCACACCACGCTGCCAGGCCTGAACCCTGTGTTCACACCACACTGCCTACCCTGTGTTCACACCACGCTGCCAGGCCTGAACCCTGTGTTCACACCATGCTGCCTGCCCTGTGTTCACACCACACTGCCAGGCCTGAACCCTGTGTTCACACCACACTGCCTGCCCTGTGTTCACACCACGCTGCCAGGCCTGAACCCTGTGTTCACACCACACTGCCTGCCCTGCAGGCCATCCATCACTCTGCAAAGGAGGAGGGCCCCAGCCACGTGAATCCCTTTCCACCAGCACAAGCTGGTTCTCCCCGAGAGGCTGGTGTGTCCCTGTGAAAAGGGTGTCCCTGTGTGTCTGCACCCCAGGAGGCTCGCCGTCCTACACTGGCATCTGCCCACACACTCACTCTCTTTCCCTCCCTCCCTTGTTGGGAGCCCCTCGGGACCCTGATGTGTGTGTGGCAGGGGGAACTCAGATGAACGAGAGCAACTCCTGCCCTGAGGCACTGCTGTGCCCCAGGCTTCCTGGGGTCCCAAGGCCTTGGCCCCCCAACAGCAGGAAGGGAAAGGCGATGGCTGCTGTGACCTGCCCTGTTCACATCAGTTCCACCTGGTTGGATGATACTCAGCCTGGGCTGCTCCAACTCTGGTCCCTTCCCAGGAAGCCCATATTGCTTGTCTATGAGGGATGGAAAGGGGTGGCCTTGGGTGGGGGGCCATCTTGGAAGAACTGAGCAGAGCCCGTTGGAAGTTTTGATGAAGGGTACATTCTGGGCAGAGAGATAGCGAGCCTGAGCTCTGGCCCAGGCACTGATGTGGTGGTGCTGTAGCACGCCAGGTGGGGCCTTGCCCTTCCCCAAGCTCAGCCTCCCCACCGGTGCAATCAGCCAGTCAGCCTCTATGGTCCCTGGGACCTTCTTGGCAATTGGCAACACCTGTGCCCCTTGCCCTCCGACTCTCTGCAGACTGCCTGCCCACGGATGGGATGGAAGGGAGTAAGGAACAGCACTTTGAAGTAAAATGTTATTAACTTTTCTCTCTTCCCCAACCCCATCCATGTTGCCCTCAGTGAGGGACATGGGTTCTAGGGGACAGAGAACAGAGGGAAGAGACAAATCACCAAGCAGGCACAAGCACTCTGAGAATCTGCTTCACATGGCTCCCCAAATGTGGGTGCTCTTTTTATCTAAAAATTCCTTATCTGCAGAAATAGTCTGAATAGCAATAAATGCCTGATAATGTTTACCAAATCATGACCTGTAGTCAGTTCAAAATGGAAAGACTGCATTCTCTGCAATAGAGATAGGCTTTGCAAATCCCGGAGCGTCCACATGTTGCAATTCAGATGCAGTCACTGCGGGTATGTTTATGGGTTTTTTTGTTTATCGTTTTTTGAGTCAGAGTTTTGTTCTTGTCACCCAGGCTGGAGTGTAATGGCACGGTCTCCTCTCACTGCAACCTTGGCCTCCTGGGTTCAAGCGATTCTCCTGCCTCAGCCTCCCAAGTAGCTGGGACTACAGGCACCCACCACCATGCCCAGCTAATTTTTG